TGCATACCTTTTACTAATACATAAACTAAGGTAGGAAAAAAATACATGATCCACATACCTTACAAGTTACAAACCCGAAGATAATCAATTCAAAAGGCATAATTAAATGTGTGACGCATTAAACAGAGGAACAGAAATATTTGGCAAAAGAGTTTACTCACAAGGCCGGGCGAGCCGGTCAAGCGGTCCGGACATCTCAGTATTGTTAACGACTATCGTAGTGGTTGGCTAAAAGAAGCATGAAAAACTGCAGTTTGGGAGGACGGAAATTCGAATCACAAAAATGGATGATCACGATGTGTTTCGTGAGTTTGGCAGATGAGATAAAGTGTGCAAGTAGAGAGGGAGGGACAGAAGATTGGCGACGGGAGGCGGTGAGAGGAAAAGATGAAGGGTGAACAAATTCTGAGAAATGGAAACCAGAAGCAGCCGAGGCATAAGATTCCGAAGAGAGAGAGAGAGAGAGATTCGGAAGAGGGAGCATGGCAAATATGTGAGCCACTCTCTCATTTGTCCACGTCATCTGGGCCTACTGGAACAAGTTTCCGCGTCGTCTTCAGCTGGGTCCCCCTTTATCTGCCGGGAATACGCCGTCAGTGGCAGTTCCAGGCGGAGCCGCCAACCCCTCGCCTCCCTCCCGCTCCTCTACTCTCCTTCTTTCTAGCTGCCTGCCTTTATTATTATTATTATTCTTTTGTCGGTATTTTCTATTTTGATTTTCTATTTTGAACTCAATTGTAAGTGTTATTATTCTACATTGAAATTCATTTTTGATTACAGGAGGAGATTCTCTTCTTTGACTTTTGAATCCTGATTAAAACATAAAGGTTAGAATTTAGAATAATTTAGATTCATGCTTTACACAATATTTTAATTTTATTTTAATTTAAAGATGAATTTTTTTTTTAGTTCTTGCTAAAAATAATGACTTGAAATGTTAATTATATAAAATAATGACTTCAAAATCTCAATATTTATACCAAGTTTTTTTTTTCAAATCAGATATTGTACAAAGATAAGGGAAAATTGCCCAAAAATAGTGAAATAATTGCTTTCACTGTGATATTGCCCAATTTTAAATTGTCGCTTTACGCTTCTCCCTGTATAGTCCAAAAGTCGCAACAAAATACCAGTACTTACGACTCTATTAATAAGGGCTTGTCAGTTTGTGTTCTATTTTTCGTTTTCGAAAATTATTTTGCAATACAATTTTAAATTTTTTGTCAAAATAAAATAAAAAATCTGTTTAATTTTATTAATTTTAAAAATTTTAGAATTAACAACAGAAAATAATCATGGTTATTAGCCATTAACGATGGTGGCTTGCAATAATCACTAACCAAAGACCTAAAATAACTGTAAATTTTAATAATAAAAATGTAATACATTTAGGAAAAATATTTAAATCAAACAGTTTTTTTATTTTTTTAGTAAAAATAAAATATAAGAGTAGTTTTAAAAATAATTAAATTCAAAACACTCATGAAAAATAATAGTTAGGTCCCAAAAAAATGAATTGATGATAATTAGGTTTCCAACAAAATTTTCTATAAAATAAATTATAAATATCAATTCAAATCGTTATAAATAAAATTTTCTATTATAATTTAAGAATTATATTTAATATTTAAATACATATTTTTATTAAAACTCCTAAATTTGTAATGATTTAAATTAATATTTTCAACTTATTTTTTTAAAAAATTTATCTAGGATTTGATTGTTCTTAATTTAATATTTTGGGACTTAAATATCATTCTTCCAACACTTATTCAAACAATTTTTTTTTTTTTATTTTTAAAAACAAAAACCAAACCACCCTAAGTTTCCTGCTTTCTAGATCTAGCAAACCATGTTAAATTTTACTTACGATTTAAAACTTCATTGTTTTTGAAATAGCAATTAAAATTGTCTTTTTATATTGAAAAAGCATAACTTTAAATCCACACTTTCTCTTATTTTGTTATTAGTCACTACATTTATTTTTAGTATTTTAAATTTTGATGCTTTTATTTTTTATTATTTCAAATCTCTGTAAGATCCCTACACTTTGTTCATAAAAAAAACTTAAAAAAATAAAAAAATAAAAATACAGGGACCTAAAATATAAAAAAAAGTGTAAGAACTCAAAATTATATTTTTTTTTATATTTTACAGTTTTTTGTGGGAATTTTACAATGGAAGAATTATATTGAAGGACCTCCCAATATAATTATTTGTGAATAAGAATCAATATAAAATTGTTTGTTGTCAATATAGTAATAATGATTTTTTTTAAATAGTGACTTATTGTTAATTTTTATTTATAAATAATTTTTTTGAGAGATCTTGAGATGCCATTTTATATTTTACACATGACAAAATAAAAAATATTAAAATATATCAAACATCTGATTGACTAATTTTGTTGTAAACAGTGAGATAGAAATGAGCAATTTATTACTCATCTATTCTGCCTCCGTAATCTTTAAGACCATGTTACATCTCCATAATTAGGACTTTGACTTTCCACATCATTATGAGTTATGATCATATGACCGCTGCAATCGCTTGTAGGAGATCTCTTCATTTTTTTTCCCGCATTTCTTTCAACTTTTTAAATTCCCATCATTCATTAATTTTATTATTAAAAAATATTTAATAAAATAATTTGAATAACAAGGATTGGAGAAGTAGAGGAAAATGTGGAGAAAAAAATGAAGAAACCCCTCAACTTCCCTTGTTTGTCATGCATGTTCGTTTCTTCTTGTAATTAAGGTCTTGTTTAATTATGCTTTTTTTATGTTGTTAAAATAATTCTGTAAAGTAATTTTTTAAAATAAATTTTAAAAATAAAAAATAAAAAATATATATTTGAATTATTATTTTGAAGCATATGTCTAAATCGATGAAATAAAATGTTAAAGAATAAATTAATTTATTGACATAATTGTTATTGACGTTAAAGTATACTTTTAATTTTTTAACTTTATATAAAATTTTAATTTAATTCTTTAATTTTATAAAGTATCTTTTTAATTTTTTAATCCTAATATCGTTAGGTTTAAATGATTATTTTTTGTGTCAATCATTATTATTTAAAAAAAATTAAACTTAATATGTCAACATTTAATAATATTTTGTCAATATTTAAAAGTTTAATGTAAAAATTTATTACGATAAAACTAACAGTATTAAGGTTAAAATAATAAAAAGATACATTTATAAAATTAAAGAGTTAAAATGAAACATGTAAAGCTAAATGACTACATGTTTACTTTAACTTTATTATTAATGAAACAAAAAAATAACAAAACATTTAAAAAAATGTTTTGGTTTTTAAAATTTTTCAAAATAACTTTTATTTTTTTTATTTTTCAGGATAGAGAACGGAAGATACATTTTAAATCACATTTTTTTCAATTTTTTGTTTTTCAGAATAAAATACTGTTTTAAAAATAGATAATCACACAGAAGTATTTTCTCTATTTTAAAATAATTGTTATTTTATAATTTTGATTTAGTATAAAAATTTCAATAAAACATTAATTATTTTTCTAACACTTTATCATTCATTAAAATAATAAAAACCGATTGTATCAAAAAATAATAAAAACGAATTTAGCTCAATTTACATTATTTTAATGTAAAAATGATTTCATTAAACACTGCGTATTAAATACTACAATTCAGACTATTTAATAACTTTCCTAAAACAATCATTGTCAGTGTAGGTATTATCTGTGGTCCTTATAATTGTCTTGATATAATACTCCCTCCAATCTAAAGTATAAAAGCTAGTTGAAGAATTCAATCTAAACAAATTTACATATTTAATTTTATATATTTAAAATACTTATTTTAAATTAAATCAAGACATATAAATTCTTTATATATTATTTATTTTATAATAAATTTTTGTTACCAAAATTATTAATACATTGAAATCTCCTTGTGTTTAGCCACCAAAATAAAAAATCACTCTTTAAGTATATTAAATTAAATATATAAAATTAAATATCTAAATATTGTCCATTGATTTATTCTAGATTATAAAATCTCAATCCACTGTCTCTTAAATTTTTATTTTTACCCAAAACTATTCATATTGATTGCACATGTTAAAAATTATTTCTCTTAATAAGGTAATTTCCAATGCAATGATTAACTAGAAATGTTCTAGAAAAACTAATATTTTTTAATATGTGCAATTAAAATAAATAGTTTTGGATAAAAAAAAATTACTCTCCCCACTTAAAAATATAAGGCATTTTTAATCGAATCTTACCCTCTAATAAAGTAATTATCTATTTTCAAACTAATCCTTTTTTTATATTTATCCTTATTAAACACCCTATAATAAATATAAAGTCATTCATCAATAAGGGTATTTTTGAAAAAAAGATAATAATTATATCTCAAAAGACTAAAAATGCTTTATATTTTTTAACATCCAACTTCTTAAAAAATACTTTATATTTGTAAATAAAGGGAGTAAGAGACAAAGCGGATTGAGATTTTATAACCTGAAAAAAAAAATAAAGGACAATATTTAAATACTTAGTTTTATATATTTAATTAATTATTCATCTCTATCAATTAATTATGAAAAAACATAACTCTAGGCCTTTATATTTTGCTCACATTTTTCTATTAGTCTCTGTACTTTTTTAGGTGTTTTTTGTTCACGTACTTTCTTTTCATTATTTCAAGTTCCTCCACGGTTCCTATACTTCGTTCATGAAGGGACCTAAAACAATAAAAGAGAAAAATACAGAGATCAAAACACCAAAAAAAAATTAAAAACTAATAAAAAAACACGAGAAAAATACAGAGACTTAAAATTATATTTTTTCATTAATTAACTCTTCCCATTTGAATGGAAAGTAATATAAAATTGGATGCAACCGTTGAAAAGTAGAACCACAAAACAAAAGAAGAAGAAGAAGTAACAAGCCAAAGTCAAACCCGAACCGCTTGAATTGTTCTCAGGATGCAGAACGCAAGACAACAAGATAAGATTTAGCAGAATGAAGAAAAGGAAAATATAAATTGGGACCAAAATAATCTGTTTGAGCAGAAATAATTTTCCAGACCATGGCACAGAGGAAAAGACAGCAGCATCGTGCTGCGCCACGTGGATGAAACACATTGCATATTATCAACAGTTCATGAGGATCGAGTCGAGCAACGGAAAAGCATAAATAATGCATATAGTATTAATATTTATATACAAAATATTCACAAGACATCACGTGCATAACAGGGAGAGCCATGACTGCTATCTGCTTTGAATCCCATTCTTTAAAATTTTGGATTTTATCTACAGCTTAAAGCGTCCAGGATCTGCAACGAGGAAAAGAAAAGGTTAATCTTCACGTTGTTCGGGGAACAAAGACAGAAGGAGGAGGTTAAGTGCTGGTAACAAAACGAATGACGGAGAGATTTCTCAAGACAACGCTTCATACGTAGTCAATTTGCCGTGAATAAACAAGTCTCATACCTGTTATTCGCGTTTTTGCCAGCCCTGTGTTGATTAAGTTTGTCCCTCCACAAAGCTGTAGTAAGCATTGAAAACATGGGATGTATAAGTCGCAACTTCAGAGGAAGTACAGTTTCTCTTGTATATAAATATAGAAACGTAGCGTTGCAGGACTTTCATCCAAATTCAAAGAATGTACTAGACAGAGAAATCAATTAACTAGATTGTCGGATTACCTGGACAGCCAAGAATCAGTCAGAGACAGGGAAAGATGAATAACAATGAAACCCGTCTTTATACGTAGCAAAAACATGTTTATCATGATCCTAATGACCTTTTCTGTTACAGGTTGTTTTCCAGATAAATAATGCCAGCGAGGGCCGACAAGCATGTAGCATACCATTTCTTTTTTATCCAATCATTCAAGTCGAGATACCAAACAGTTGTATATTTTATTACCTTAATGAAAATTAGAAATTAGCAAGCAGATTCCACAGCAACAGGCAAAGTTGTAAAGATGGCAAGGCAAACTAGTGCTTCAGACAGGGTTCAAGCTTGCTCAAAACATGAAAGTGGTCCATGGTCATACATAATATCCAGAAGCATGTATCTTCATCAAACATGGTTCCAAAACAGGAAAATGCAGTTGAAGTATTAAATTATTGTAAAAATAAGTTACCAGCATCTTTATAGCGCTCCTCGACAACAGCTTTCAACATGTTGTGCAAGAGATTGAACTCCTGGGTTTCAGCACAAGGCTGACCACTTGGCCTGCAATCACAACAACTTCAGTCAACACTTGTCTTTTACCATGGACAATGCAATATTTTGTGAGAGATTTCAAGATTTCCTTTTAAATATAAGAATAATGGAACACTTAATACAGACAAGTCATATAATCTGATAAGGTATCTTTTTCACAAACCTACCGGTCCAGTTCAACAGATAATAGACCATCTGAAACATGGTACTGTGCCGAAAACTTGCCAGATTCAATTACTCTCATCCCGTCACTGTAAGCCAAGTACTTGTTAACTTGTATTGGCACCTGCTACGTTAGTAAAACAGCAAGTCTCTCATCACAAATGAGTCTCAAATGAAGTAATAATAGATCTCGTCCTAGTTTTGTACGGGTAAAAAAATCACCAACATTCTCCAAGCATGCCAAAACATTGAGGATTAGTAAAGCTTGCCTAAATATTCATTACACTAGGCGAAATTGGTCAAATTTTTTCCTCTTCCAGAACCTGATTTTCACCAGCAACCAGGGCACAAATAAATAATGATCAAGCAAGCAATAGGTGAACGCAATAAGCTTGCAGATGCTTATGTATTCCAGTTTTTAATTCCACCAAAGGTTACCTTGCATCTTGCTGCAATGTTGATAGCATCTGAAGGTCGAAGATCAAAGCTAATACATTCATTCTCATTCCCAACCTAAACCAAATCAGACAAGTCACACTAAGTGCCTTTGTTCTTTTTTCCAATTTGTGTGTGTCAAGGGGGAGGGGGAGGGGGCACACTGAAGAGAAGGGAAGAGTGGAAAGTAAATGCCTTCGTAAGATATAGCTGAGCAAAGTATGCCTCGTGCACTCTCTTAGTAACTCTAACAAGTCTGACCTGCAGAAGCAGAAAAAACATCATTTGACTACCACTATCGTTCAAAAAATCCAACAGAGACATTGATACAACCAAGATCAGGTGTAAGATTATAAAGACTCATAGAATCATACTTGATAGCCCATCTTGTCAACCATCTCCTTTACTACTTGATACAGAGTAGGTCTAGCCTGATTCAGCAACCAAATAGTGAGTATCCATCAACACAGCTAATATTGTAAAACTACAAACTTTAAAAATCAGACAGTTGACTCAAATCAAGAACAAAAATGTAAAACAATTATTGGCATGCACTTGAGGGTGAAATAGTGAATTTGACCAAGAAAAAAAATACCATTTGAACGTGGCGTACTGCTGCCATTAGCAAAACGCTGGGCATCTCCGCTGCGATTAATGATGTGCAACAAAATTACAATGGGAAAGATGTATAATCATCAACATCAGATAGAGATCTAAGTTTCCATTTTTTGTTAGATATAAGAGTAAGAACATACAAACAATTATGGGGAGAAGTAGACCAGTTCCTTCTTCCATCTTCAGTACAATTGCAGGATGTGGTGCATAATCTGGCAAATGTCCTCCCTGAGGGTTGTTATGGACGCACCTTAAGTGTCTACCATCCCTCATTTTGATCATAAAACCATCTGCTCCACTCTTCACTTCAACTATATGGCACAATCAAGGAAAATATCTCCCATGAGATTTCAAAAGGTGTAAGGTGAAGATTCAGTGATCAATTGCTCGTCAGATTTGCAGTAGCTAAACGTACCAGCCTCAATTACACTGGAGTTGACATAGTCCTCATCTTTTTCATTGAAATCCCCTGCCGAACTTCCGCTGCCATTTGAGGATGAGTTGAAATTACATTGTACTGCCTTGTACTTTCGTGCTTTTATTTGGCAGAAGAGAATATTGGCCTTAGCTTTGCTGCGGCTGAATTCCTTGAGTCCCCAAAATTCACTTCGCATACAACTTGCGTTCATTGGTCCAATCATAGGCAGACTGCAGAATCCTGCCAGTTTAGTACGGACAGAGGGGCACATAACCGATCCTTGCAGATAGCCCATATTAAATTCTCAGAACCTACCCAAAAAAATGACAATCAAGAACGTGTCACTGACGTGGAACGTTAGAGTGGAATATAGGTCGATATAAGTCATTCAAGAGTAGATATTTGTTTTTGAATTCCCACATGTGTTTGTATAGAAAAGCGTGGAGGCATTGCAGATGTTTCAGTGACAACTGAGAAAACCATATACATGCGACTTCCAATATACAATTGGAATATAAAAATTATCTGGAACAAATGAAAGGATCCATATTCATTATATAATGGTCCTAGATTCGTAGCAGAGTGAGGAATAAAAGCTCTACACAAATGTACCCCAACAAAACATAATATCCAACTTAGAGAGAATTATTCCTGATAAGAAGAGGAAAAGAATAAAAACCCGCAGACCGGAAAACTCGTGTCCTTTTCATCTTCTCATCGACCGCTCAACCATAGAGAATATAATTTTTGTGGGGAGGAAAACCAGAGAGATGCTGGAACAATGTTAGTGAATATGAAATATCTGGATGTTTGGTGATGTGAATGATTTAAAAACTAAACCGAACCTGGAAGAGATCGAAGGTCCAAAATTTTTGCAAAGGTCTGCAATCAAAAGACACTTCAGTCACAGATCACCGCAAGAAACAGCATAAAAAATCCGGTCACTTTGAGAACTCCAGAATCGAAATCGGAGAAAGTGATGAGGAGGATGAATATGTCTGAGATTGTTTTTATTTTTGTGATATATGTCGGAGTATTTAATAAGCACCGAAAATCAACATGTACAGATCGAAATGAAAGATCTTCATATACATAAAAGAAAGAGAAAGGAAGTCAGGGAAAGTTAAAATCAAACATAGATGGAAGCGTGGAAAGTGGATGCAGTTGAGATTAACATGGAACGACCAACAGAGATCGGATGAAGGGCACGAGGTCAAACTAGAGATTCTTCAAATGTTTTCTGAGAAGGATCTTTAAGCTGCCATGGAGAGAGGCAGAGCAAGCGTCAGATGATAAAATCGAATCCCTCTTATGCCCCAGTTGATTTTGGTAATGTCGTAATTTTCTTGTTCAATTCGGTCAAAAAAAGGTAATTTTTTTACGCCTTGGTTAATTTTGACTTTACATTGTTCATGATACTTATAAAATTAATGAATTAATTAATTATTTATTTATTTGATAATGTACTTTTAACTGAGTTAAAATTTACTTTTGTTCAGCTTAATATTTATAATTTTCATCCTGTCGAAATTTAATTTTTAAAATCTGACTTGATATAATTTAATCTTTAAATTTTAATTTGGTACAACTCAATTTTAATATTTTTAATTATTTAAAATATTAATTCTTATATTTTATAAAATAAAATTATAATAACTAAAAATATTTTTGAAAATTTATGAACTAATATTTTAAATAGTTAAAATTATAAAGATTAACTTATATTGAATTAAAATTTAGAAATTACGTTTCATTGAATTAAAATTATAAAACAAATTTATACCAAATTAAAATTCCTGGACGGACTAACAGCAAGATCAAATTTATAAGTATCAATTGATTTAATTTTCTCTTCTTTTTGCCAATTCGTATGATAATTATTCTAACGAGTTACGACAACATGCGCATAAAAAATAATGTGTTTTAAATCGGCATCAGCATTATAAAAAAACATGTGCTTTTATCTAATTAATTAATACTTACTTAATTAATGACTGTTTTTCTTTATATGTGCATTAGGCAAAAACGTTTTATGCAGTAGTGTGAGATAGGGCGAGTATTATGTAAAACAATAATAATAATGATAATTATTATACATGTATATTTAATTTCACTTTATTATAAATTTTGAATTTAATTTTGACTTAAATCACTGCCCTCCACTCGGATTATAATATATGTTATTATTAACTAATTTATGACTTTATTTGAATTTGAATTGAAAAAATTGTGAAAAGAAAATAGGAAGAAGATAAAATTATAAAGAGAAATGTTTTAAAATAATAAATTTCTGGCTTTCTTTACTATTTTTAAAAGCTTTTTCTTCTAAATTTATTTCATCTCCCTATTTTTTTCTCCATCCAAATATGGGATACATTTCTAAAAAAAATTGATTAAAATATTATATTTAAAAAAGTTTTCACATCTTCTAATCATACATTTGAGTAAAAAAAAATATAATATTTATGTTATTTAAAATATTCTCATTAATTACTTGAGTGAAATATAATGAAGCAAGTGTGTGATTGAAAACACACACACACGTACAACTTAGAGTTAAAGTTTAATTTTGCCCCTATATTAATTTTTTAAGAGCGTTGGATATTCTATATTTTTAAGGTAATTTTATCCCTGAACTATTTTTTAGAAGAGTAAAAACCTACTTCCATTAATTAACCGTTAATTTTTTTTATTTTCTAATAACGTGGCATGTGCGTGGAGCCCATGCACAATGGCGTGTAAGATATAGTGTGTATTTTGGTGCTAACTTGCCTCTAAAGTTTTTTTAAGAGTACTAAACACCCTAAAGTCTTTTTCTTGAAGTGTTGGGCACCTTGAAGTCTTGTTAAAATAAAATTAACTGAATATTATTAAAATACTAAGTATTTTAATATTTAATAATTTAAATATTAATATTTAAAACAATACACTACCCAAATTTAATATTTTAATATTTTTTAAATTTTATAATTTTGTATTAAAAATGAAGCGAATGAACCTCCAAGTTAATGAAGAGATTTTTTCTTCTCATCTCTCCATTTTTTTCTTGTTAAGTAATTTTTTTCTATAATGCATTAATGGAATAAATAATATCTTTGAAATAAATATTTTTATTGTCGTATTGTTAGTCCTAATTTATCATGTTTATGATTTTACTATTAACAATATAACGTACAGAGAGTATTAGACTTAGATGATGTAATATTTTAGAGGAAGATCATTAGTTGACCAAAAAAATTAAGGAACTTAATTAATATTAAAAATATAAGTAAATTCCAACACGTACAAAAAACATAATGATTTGGATATTGTATTGGAGAGAAGATCGAAAATAGATATATAAAAAATAACAAGTCATCTATAAATTTATAAAATGCGCAAAAATAATATTTAAATATAAAAATATTAAATTGGGTAGTGCAATGTTTTAAATACTAATATTTAAATTATTAAATATTAAAATACTTAATATTTTAATAATATTTATTTAATTTTATTCAACAAGACTTTAGGTGCCCAACGCTCTGAGAAAAAGATTTTAGGGTGCTTAATACTCCTAAAAAAATAGTTTAAGAATAAATTAACATCAAAGGATGTAACATCCAAAGTTTTAATGTAGAATTTATTGCTAATTAAATAAAAAAAATTAGTTAAAAATAATGTATAATTAATTTGATTATGTTTTGGGTTTTTAATTGATGTTTTGGATCATTGAATAACTCTAAAGTTGAGCTAGGGTTAAAATTGAATCGAATTAGGACAAGACAATATGATACAAGTGGGATTGGTCTTATTATGTATTATGTCGTGGCACAAACAAATTATGCGCAGCATAATTCCCAAATCTAAAAATAAAATGTGCGTGAATTAACATAAAATTTCATATGGAGTTTTTATGAGAGTAGGGAGCATAAAGAAGGATCTTGAATAGCTGTGCTAGGGCTTTCATATAGTCAGGATCGAAAGTTGATTTGGGTTCTCAATCATCTGAGTAAGCTTGGTAACTCCATCTCCTCCTTCTCTAGGTCATTTTTAAAAGGGATGGGAGATTTGCAGATTTTGGGTTTGAGTCGGGGAAGATTATATTCAAACCCTAAAGATTTTATGGAATGATTGGAGCTTAATTAGTTTCTTTGACTTGAATAATTGTTATTATGAAGCTTAAGGATTGTTTAGCGTAAATCGATTCAAGCCCTAGTTGTTTTATAAGGTTTTCAACTATAACAATTTGAGATATCAAGCTGTCTGTCGTGATAGAGTTAGAGAGAAGCTTGAGGGGATAGTGTGAGCTAGTTGTAACCTTGACTAGCTTCTTTGTGTTGAGAATAGGAGTAAAAAGTGAGAGATCTAGGGTGATATTGATGTCTAATAGTACTTGTGTTAATTAAAAATTAATATATAATACTTGTTGTTATAGATTTAGGTGTGGGAAAAAACTTTTTGTGACCCAAGAGGAGATTTAGTACCATGAGTAATCCTTTTTGTAATAAAAGGGTTGAGATAACTAGATAATTTATATTATTTATTATCTTATATAAGTTATTTATAAGTTGTTTTTGTATGATTGGTTATATTTACATATATAAATTTTGTAAAAGTAATTTAGAAGATATGTGGAGTATTGATTTATGAAATTTCCTATTTTTAAAGTAAGTAGTAAGATTCATTATATTTATTTAGAAAGTGATTATGCATGGTCAAGTAGAGAGATGTAGTGAAATGTGGCATGTTATAGGGTGGAAGGTTACCTTAGTGAAGTTAGTGGAGATTAAGTCTATATGATACTGTTGGTACCTCGAGACGCCAAGTGCAGCTTATATTTCTCCTTAGCACTTGAAAAAGGGCGCGCTGTTGGAGACTGCTCTCCTTAGTACCCAAAAGGGTGCGGAGTTGGAAACTATATTTCTTAGCATCTGTAGGATGCAGTGTTATAGTAACGACACCCCAATTACTCGTAATGAAGGAACCTATAGTTTAAAAGTAATTTAGGATGCCTTGGCCAGATAGTTCTACTATGGATGGTGAGCTTAAGACCATACATGTGGTTTGGTGTGTGAAATAGCCTACCAGTTCGGTTAGAAGTATTGGAGGATCAGATGATTAGTAATTATGCATTGTAATTGTGGTAATTTGTATATAGTGTGTTCATTATGTATATTTTAAATCTTGTTTATAACTTGGCAAGTTAATTAATAATATAGATTATCTTAGTTACTAATATTTTTATCTCACCCCGTGATTATTATTTTACAAGTTCTGCTATTGAGTCTAAGTAAAGGAAGGAGTCAGGCAAAGGCTAGCATATTTGCTACTTTGCAATTGTAATGCCCAATTTTGCTTTGGGTTGTGTGTACATTAACTTAAATATAAGACAATATGAGTTACCAACTAGGAATGCATAATATTTTGTGATTAGTACTTGTATTATACTATAATATATTGTATTTTAGCCTAATGTTATATATAATGTGAATATGTGGTGATTTTTATGGTGAAGGACTAAAATGCTAATACAAGTGCTAGAATAGTTGTATATATGTGGCGATAATGTATATGTGATATATTATGTGACATTAGAGGCCAAATAATATGTGATTGTGATTTCGTGCTTTTAGCCTTAATGGGTGAAACTAGCTTTAAGTGATAAATTTTTGTGTTTAGTGTGTTATTGTGTGGTTAGAAACTCAATTAGTTGTATATTGGTCCATTGGATTTAGCTCAAGTCTCAAAATGGGTTAGTGGTATAAATTTTGAGTTTTGAATCATTAGATACTTGAAAACCATTTTGAAATCTCACTTTTTACACCCGGGTGTCTAAATTTTACATACAACATCAGATCATAATGAAACTTGTACAATTAGTTGGCTTATTAAATAAGCTTTGTGTGGATGTTTGAATCATTCTAATTGAATGTCAGATACAAAAATGGCATACATTGAAAGTTCACCTAAAAAGTTGTCATGACAACAAAAATTATGTCTGATATTTATGCTGTGACATTTATGCCACAACATATAGTACAGCAGTGAAATTGATCTTTCTGTGCCATATGACATGGCATAATGACCATATTGCAATAAAATGACATTTTTAGCCCTATTTTCAAGTGTTTTGCTTCCCAAACTTTTTCATGCTTTCTATATCTTTAAAAATTATTAAGTTTGAGCTCAAACTATAAATATTAGAGGGTTTTTATGGAATTCCAAGTATTTTAAATTATTTTTTATTATTTATTAGCTTTAACTCTTTTGTATTTACTACAAGCTTAGGAGTAATTTATAACTCCTAAT